CCTTTTCGGTACTGGCTTTTGGTGCTATTGTCGACCCTGGGTACTTGAATTGCTCCACTTAATTTAAAGGGGTACCATTGATAATGGGTGAAATATGTAGGCTATCCACGCGAGTCCTCTGCTTTCTAGAGCCGCTAGCCACATATGCAGGTCTGATGACCATGGTGCAGGTTTCAGGATGTTTTTGGTGATATAATTCTTAAGCAGATTGAACATGACCGGACTAAGAGCTGACCCCTGATGGACCCCTTCCTAGCCTCAAAAGGTCCCCTAGTTCCTGCTGAGCTGATCACTCTTGTTGAAATGCCTTTTATGAGGTCTATGTATGGTTCTGGAAACTGTGCCCTCAGTGCTTCCCATATCAGTTTTCTAAGAACCCGATCAAATGCTTTCTCCAGGTCTATGAAGATAAAGTGAAGAATAAATAGCGTCAAAGTACCGAAACCTCAAGTGAAGCCACATTGGTTTGTTGTATTTTTAAGCCGTGTCAGTCTGTCTACAAGGATACCTCTCCCATATTTTCAGAGTATGAGACGTGAGTTTTATGCCTCTGTAGTTGGAGCAGGCGACAGCGTCTCCCTTGTTTGTATAAAAGGGTACAAGATTGCTGAATCTCCACATTTTCTCAACCAGACAGGTGGTTCTGGGACTGACGTTTCCTCCGGGAATTCTTTATTTCACAAACCCTTATACTATTCCTGTCATCAACTCTTTATTTTGCTGTCGGATGTCAACAAATTTCCTTTACTATCTTTAATGTACTTATTTTACTTTATGTCTTTAGTTTTACTATTTTTACATTTAGCTAGTTCAAAAATTTCATGTTCCGACTCAACATTCTCCAGGCTGGCATAGAACGCATCATTATATTCAGCGCTCGAGTCGGTCACTGTTACTTTTGCTATATTTTTAACCCTTTCGTATTCTGATCGGTCGTCCACCGTGTTCGTGTCCTGCCACCTTTTAATAGCAGTTTTCTTTGTTTTTTAGGTGCATCTTTTACGTCGCTATTCCACCAGCTAGGATATTTGTTAGTTTTTAATTTGCCTTTTAAAACTCCAAGGACTTTACTCGCAATATCGTGATATATTGAATGAAAATCGTTCCATAGCCAGTCGCAAACTTTAGGTTCATCGAGAGTTTATTGAAGGTTGGTTGATGAATTTATGGTCGGCAGATTCGTTAAGTTGGTACCACTTAATGCGTGGTTCACCTTTGCGCTTTTCCGCAGAAGCAGACCACCAGGAGTCTGTATTTGGTTGTTGAAGGTTCAACCGGGAATGACCTTGCAGTCTTTAAAATTCTTAAGAATGGAACGGCTACAAAGAATCTAATCGACTTGGCTGAATCTTCCGCCACTTTTTTTTGTGATCAAATGCTCTTCTTTCTTCTAAAAATCAATGTTAGCCGTAGACATCAAACTTATCGACGAAGTCCAATATTTCTTCGTTTTGGCCCCTCGACTCAACATGTCCGTTCAGATCTCCTACGACTATTGTCCGTTTTTCTACTGAGAGTGATTCCATCAGATTTCTTAGATCATCCCAATAATACAGCTGCTTTTCCTTATTCTTGCAACCTATTTGACGTGCATACACAGATGTAATGTTGTGAGTCAGTTGATTATCGAGAACTAGCACACATATTACTCTGTCGCTAAAGTGGAACGTTTAATGATACTTTGTTTGAGTTGTTCGTCTAAAATAATACCTATCCCATTCCTGGGTGGAGGTTCCATAATAGAGGAGTTGATGGTTGTTACCGATATCTGGAGCCTTAGCGCCCTTCCACTTAGTTTATTGGATGCAGCATATATTAATCTTACGTCTATGTAGGATTTCAAGCAATTCTCGACAATGTCTAGTCAGGGATCCAATCTTCTAGTTGGCTATGCGCAGAAAGATTGCGCAGCGTCTATCGTCGCTCACAGGGGACACCTTAGTATTTTTCGCATATCCTGACCTCTAATCGTCGCTTCAGAAGGGCGCCCTAGCATTTACATTCTTTTCCTTGTTTGGTAACAGTTGATTTTTAAGGCTGGTTGCTACTTGACATCAAGACTGTCACCATCCTGAATGTGCGAGCGCCGACGTTGACCCATTACAGTTTCATCCTAAAACTTTTGGGTGTTTCATTCCCATCAGCCAGTAATAATGCTGGCGGGCAGTCTCTCCGGACTACGCCGGAAGGTAGGGCGGAAGGCCCTCTTCAGCCTGCTTTCAGGAATCGTGGGAATGGGTGGTGGTGGTTCGGGTGAGAAAGATGAGACGGACGAAATGAAGACAGAAGAGAATGAATGATTTTCTGTAGAATATTACTGCCTCAGCATTTGCCTAGGTAATCCAAGGAAACCACAGAAAAACTTGGACCAAGGCAGACGGACCCGGAATCGAACCGGCGTCCTCCCGAATGCTAAGCAATGGTCTAAACCTCTANGTTTCTTTTTCTTTGAACTGTTTAATTGCTTTCCCAGAACGCCGGTACGACACACACACTTACAAATACGGCGCACATGAAGAAAGGCGCCCGCGGCTAGTTGGCCAATCGATAAGCCGCTCACACACGTATGCCCGATCGCACACAAACACGCTCGTGCTCGCTACAATATTAATAAATAATGGTTTTTGTGTATCGTACTCGTCGGGACTTTTTGAAGTGAAACTTCTTTACGCACGCTAGGGTAAGTTCATACGAGTTGCTATGTAATGTAAAAATAGATGGAGATTGCCGGGATGGGCTCCTGGACAAGGATGACTGGGGTGTGAAAGGATCTGTAGTAGTACTGCTGTGTTTTGGCCTGAAATATTTTGAATTTGTTGCTCCCTGGATATTTTTGTTACTTTGAGTCGATTGCAATAGAAAAAAAGAAAATTTGCGATAAATTCCACAAATCACCCCTGTTTTAAAATAATATACTACCCATGTAAGTTATAGTTACCAAGAAAAATTAAAATTATCAGAATGGGTTTAATTGAAATATATCCCAAGACAAAGAGGCAATCTTCCGAGTGGCACACGCCGGCATCTCCTCACCCAAAAAAGGGAAGAATGAGCAAATCCAAAGTGAAAACGATGCTCATTGTCTTTTTTGACATAAAAGGCATCGTCCACTATGAATTTGTTCCTCCTGGACAAAACGTCAATGCGAAGTTTTACGTGGAAGTGTTCACGAGACTCAAACGAAGGGTCAATCGGGTCCGACAAGACATCGCAGCCGACTAGAAGTTGCACCACAACAACTCCCCGGCTCACACCGCCTTTCTTATGGACAGCTACCTGACCAAGGCCGGCATCCCAACGCTTCCGCAGCCGCCCTACAGCCCAGATGTGCCCCCCGGACTTTTTTTTGTTTGCTCGCCTGAAAAAGCCGATGAAAGGCAAGCATTTTGAGACGACAGAGGGGATCCAAGCAGCTCTTAAGGCTATTCCGTATTCTGTAATTTTTTAAAGGCCTTATATGATTCACATTTTTGTGTTTCGTTTGCTGAATATTCAATGCTTTTTTTGAGGTTGTACTTTTTGCTTGCGTTTATATGATTTTATTTGTATTCGTCAGTTTATATATTCTGTTGCACTTTTTAAGACTGTATTCACAACCTACACTGGTAACATGTTTTATCGTTAATTTCGTCGTATACTCGATGTTCTTCCAATTAGAATATCCTTAAGATTATTAGCTCAAAGACAACTTTTATCCATATAAATACTATTTGTAGATGTGGTAACAAGAAAAATATTTAGTAATGGATAGTTATTTTACTGTGTTTGCACATTAATTACAACGAGGTTATTATTAAACTTGTCAATTTCTAGCATTTCCAAAAATTACCATTCCTAATATACCCATATCATTTTTTTAATGTAATGCTACAATACAGTATAAACTCTATACAGCGACACTTAAGAGACTGTACAATTTATGACGTTACTGAGAGTTGTCGTTAAATAGAGAGAAGAAAAATTAATATCGTATTACTATTATAATACATGCTAATAAAGTATTTTCTCTGACTTGCCATGTTCACAGTTTGAAAGTTTGTGAGGAACTAAGAACATGATAACGTATAGATAAAGCTTAACAACCTAACGACAGTTAAGCCACAGTATAAAGATTCTATACAGTAGGTTCACTTTTGATCTGCCTAAAATGCCGACACTTTTTGCAGACCATCATAAATTAACTCTATATGCGCTGAACTTCATATATGAGGACGATTCAAGCGTCAGCAGGAGAGGGATGTATGGGCGTACCTGGGAAGTGAACCTCCTGTATAGAATCTTTGTACTGTGGTCTAACAGCCAAGGTAAACTCGTGCAAGGTAATCACAACAAACAAAAGAACGGATTCATTAGAATCTTCGGTACGTATGACGCCGACAGTCCAAATAAATATTAATGTAAACCAAGTAATTTCGACGTTTTACGAAGTTTGTCGTTAATCAAGCGTCGTTAAATAGAGTTCACAGTGTAATTTGAATTAGATCTCTTTTATTACCATAGAATTTTTCGTGCTCAACAATTTTAGTCTTAAAACTTCTTCAAGTTTTTCCTAAAAAAATATAAAGCTTGTTACATGATTTACCTCCTAATTTGTAAATGCCAGATTTTGACAATTTATCAGGTTAGTAAGAATGACAGACTGTAGTTTATTATTTGTAAATATATTTTCATACGTGATTGGTTACCAACATAAAACATCTTTTGGAGTATGATTTCATAAAATGATTCTTAGTGATAAACGAATATTCGTTAAATTTTTGATCTCTAGTCCTATCCATTATTCTAACATTCACTTATTTATCAAACTCCTCCACCATGCTGAATTTTATAGCACTGTTCTATATTGATATAAAATTATACCATCAAACTTTTATGATAGAAGGTCACGTCACTATAATATTGCAATTGTGACATTTCAAATTACAGTATGTTTTTTCCATACATCAAAAATCATGTTATATTTCTACTTTAAAAATATCCTCAATAACATTTGAAAAATATAATATCCTTCATGTTAATGTAACCAGTTTACCTGAAACCTAACATGGGCGAGTGTGGAGCATTTCCTCATTATTCCCCGGTAAATATTTTGTACAACTTCATTTTACTTACTAACATAAAAATTTTTGCAGTATGGTACTAGAAAACCATGCAAGTAAGTATTGCCTTCAGTTATCGTAATATAACAACATCTGGCAGACAGAAATCCAAGTTATTGAGATACGTTTACGTCATCGCCTTAATCTGTATGAACCAATCCAAAAAGTAATGACAGCGGCATTGGCATATTAAACTCAGTTGTACCTAGCACGTGTAGTTCGAAAACTGTAGGTTTTACCATTTATAGTATAATTCAATAGAGTAATCGTAAGTCATACGTAACACTGCATGCTGTATAAAAAAGTTCTCTAAATCTCTAACCGTTTCTGAGCGGTGGTCCACCAAAAAACTCGAGGTAGTTACAGCCTCTATGTGTGGAATGAGAATAAGATGGATGGTCTAAGATGTCTTTAAAGCATGCTATAAGACGATTTATGATTTTTTCGGAAGCCTATCTCTAACCATTTCCGAGCGGTGAAAAAAAACTGGAGGTAGCTACAGCATCTATGCGTTGAGTGAGACTAAAATGGATGGTCTAAAACGGCTATAAAGCATACTATCCGACGATTTATGACCTATTCAGAAGTCTATCTCCAACAGTTTCTCAACGTTAGTCCACCAAAAAACTCGAGGTAGCTATACCTTCTATGCGTGGAGTGAGAATTAAGTGGATGGTCTAAAACGTCTCTAAAGCATGCGATACGACGATTTATGACCTTTTCAGAAGCCTATCTCTAACCGTTTCTGAGAT